GATCCTGACGATGGAAGGAGCACAACTGGCCATATTTTCTACTTAGGAGACGGCCCTATCTCTTGGTGTTCACAGAAACAAGACGTAGTGGCTCTATCCTCGTGTGAAGCAGAGTTTATGGCCGGGACTGAAGCGGCTAAACAAGCCATTTGGTTGCGGGATATACTCAGTGAGATTACGGGAACTGAAGCCAAGAAAGCTATCATTCGTATTGATAACAAGTCAGCAATTTCACTTACAAAGAATCCTGTCTTCCATGGGAGAAGCAAACACATAAAAAGAAGATTCCATTTCATCAGAGAGTGTGTCGAGAATGAAGAGATTGAAGTGGAGCACGTTCCTGGTGTTGAGCAGAAGGCTGATATCCTTACGAAGCCATTAGGGAAGATGAGATTCAAGGAAATGAGAGAGCTCATGGGAGTGCAAGATTTGGTGAAGAAGAGCTTCAAGCTTAAGGAGGAGATTGTTGGATTAAGCTTGAAGAAATAACTTGTGCGACAAGTTAGGAGAAGATAATATTAAATCTCTAGGTCTTATCTTGAAATATTGTTTAGGAGTTATCTAAACAATTCATAGTTTGATTAGGATAAGTCTTATAAACCTCTATATAAGAGTTACCTATGCGTGTGGTATACCTTAGAGTTGAGAGAGAGTTTTTTGTGAGAGATTTGAGATTGAGAGACATTGTGTGCTTTAGTTTTTGAGTTAGTTTTCTATAGCTTAATAAGAGAGTAATTCTTAAACTTTGTCTTCTTAATCTTTCTCTTTCGATTCTAGATATATATATTGCAAAAATCTCACTTAAAGTATACTCTTTGTTTTCTTCTGCAATTTCTGGTAAAAAAGTACTACAAATTACAAAATATAAATTCACCGCCTCTATGAATTAGGTGTATTACTCATAAGTAAAAAATGTTGCTTTAATTTATTTCTTAAACCATAAATATTTGTCCTTTTGAGCATTACCAAAATAATCTAATAACTCCACAGGTTACAGCTAGTTTCTCCCTTTTTTAAACAAAGTTACAGCTAGTTTTACCTATATGCACGTATATATATCACAAGAAAAGAAAATTACTAAAAACTAAAATAATAACCCTGATAAAGAAAATGCATACATATTGGGAAATATGTACTGCAAATAATACACAAATAGCCTACTTTTTCTTATAGAGAAACTACCACCATAATATACCTTAATCATATATATTTACTTAAATGATTTGGGACCATAATTTACAAAACTTGGGATATTTTAGATTTATCTTTTACTATTAATTTTAAACGAGGAACAATTTGGGAGCTAAGTTTGTACCTTTAAAGCAAGCATAAAAAAACTTTATAAAACAAAGAAGAAGAACTAAAAGCAAAATTAATGATGAAAAGCATTGGATAAATATGTTCTAACATGTCCGAGATCCGGATTGTGTTTTTAGGTACCATTCTTGTCTCCTCCCTAAGCTTCATCTCTCTCTATCCCAATTATTTTCATTTTTTATTTTTAAAAGAAAACATTCAAGAATAAAAAAAACTTAGGCCTCGTTCTTCTCCCTCTGTCTCTCTCTTCTCTCTTCTTAGCTTTAGCTCAAGCTTTCTTCCTCCCATGGCAACTATCTCTCAAGTCATTATCTAACTTTTTTCTCTTTTTCTTTTTGTATTACTACTTCTTATGGATATTGGTGTTCATGTTCTTGGGTCGGTTACTAGTAATGAAAATGAGTCACTTGGTCTAAAAGAGCTTAGAGGAACTAAACAAGATAGATCCGGATTCAACGGTGAGGATTGCTTGCAACGAAGCCTGAAGCTAGCAAGAACAACAACAACTAAAGAGGAAGAAGAAAACTTGTCTTCTTCTTCTGCAGCTGCTTATTGCAAAACGATGTCGTTTCAGCAAGGCATTCCTCTTATGAGATCTGCTTCTCCTCTTTCCTCTGATTCTCGCCGGCAAGAACAAATGCTTAGCTTTTCAGATAAACCAGAAGCTCTTGATTTTAGTAAATATGTCGGTTTGGATAATAGCAGTAATAACAAGAGCTCTCCCTCGCCGTTTCTTCACCAGATTCCTCCACCTTCTTACTTTAGAAGCTCAGGTCTGAAAATGTCTTTTCTTGATTGAATTTTGGTGAAATGGGTTTTATGTAAAAATCTCAAATTTTGGTTTTAAGAAACACTTTTTTTATTGTGGAATGCAGGAGGATATGGTTCTGGTGGAATGATGATGAACATGAGCATGCAAGGGAACTTCACTGGTGTTAAAGGACCTTTTACATTGACTCAATGGGCTGAGCTAGAGCACCAGGCGTTGATCTATAAGTATATCACAGCCAATGTCCCTGTTCCTTCTAGTTTGCTCATCTCTATCAAGAAGTCTTTTTACCCTTATGGATCTTTGCCTCCTAGTTCTTGTAAGCTCCATTTCTTTATTAACACCGTTTCTAGTCGGATAACTTGCCAATGATGATCACGAGTTAAGTTTGTGAAAGTTTTGGGATTTTGATCAACATTTTTTTGTTGTGTGGTTGCTTAATCCAAGAATTTAGATTTTAGCTAGTCTTTGATGTCGTTTTGGTGCTAAATCCTTTCATAACATTGCTCATAGGGTTCTTTAAATTAATGTCACTTTGGTTGAAAAGTCTTTACAACGTCATTGATTGCTTTTAGGGTTTTTCAAGATTTGTGTGTTTGAGTGGATTTTGTTAGAAATGGCTTAATGAGTGTTTAATCTTTGGTTTTGTGCAGTCGGATGGGGAACTTTCCATCTCGGTTTCGCAGGCAGTAACATGGATCCTGAGCCAGGGAGATGCCGTAGAACAGATGGGAAGAAATGGCGGTGCTCAAGAGACGCTGTTCCTGATCAGAAATATTGTGAAAGACACATCAACAGAGGCCGTCATCGTTCAAGAAAGCCTGTGGAAGTCCAATCTGGCCAAAACCAAACCGCCGCTGCTGCATCCAAAGCGGTTGCAACACCGCAACAGCCTGTGATCACTGGTAATACTAACAGGAGCAATGCCCGTGCATCAAGTAACCGCAGCCTCGCCATCGGAAGTCAATATATCAATCCTTCCACAGATTCTCTACCTAACAACAGGTGAAGGCATACATATTTTCATACTCTGCATATTCATTGCTTCATGTTCATATCTCATTTACTGATTCTTGCAAAACAGAGTTCGAAATCCTCAAGGAGTTTCGATATATCCTTCCACCGTCAGTTTACAACCCAAGGAATCTCCGGTTATTCAGCAGAAACACAGAAACAACAACAACAACAACAACCCTTTTGAGTTTGGACACATATCCTCTGATTCGTTACTTAACCCGAATTCCGCCAAGACCTATGGATCATCGTACCTTGATTTTAGCAGCAACCAGGACAAACATTCAGTGAATCACAATCACAATTCTTGGCCTGAAGAGCTGAAATCAGATTGGACACAGCTTTCAATGTCCATTCCAATAGCATCATCATCTCCGTCCTCCGCACACAACAACAACAACACTGGTCAAGACACAACCACACTCTCACCTCTCAGGCTATCCCGCGAGCTTGACCTATCGATCCAAACCGAGGAAACAACACTCGAGCCTGCTGTCAAAAAGGTGAATACTTGGATACCAATCTCATGGGGAAACTCCTTAGGAGGTCCTCTAGGTGAAGTACTAAACAGTACAACGAATAGTCCAACATTGGGATCTTCTCCTACAGGGGTTTTGCAAAAGTCAACATTTTGTTCACTCTCTAACAACAGCTCCGTAAGCAGCCCCATTGCAGAGAACAACAACAGAAACAATGGAGATTACTTTCATTACACAACCTGAAAACTGAAACTAAGTCCTGCGGCGGGAACAAAAAAAACGCTCTGTTTTTTTCTCTTTTCATTATGTTCTGTTGCGTTTAAAGCTTAAAGAGGAAATTAGAAAATCGTTGTTCTGCTGATTCTTTCTCCGTTTCCAATTTCTGAATCTTGATCTGTTTGATAATCACTTCATATAAGGACAATCTTGACTGATTCTAATTGATCTACATCTAGAAGAAGAAGAAAAAAAACTTTGATTCAAAACTAGGGTTATCTAGCTCTTTCATCAAGGAGAAGCTATTAGGGTTATAACAAACATGGACTTGAGGACCAAAACTATTGTTGGGCTTTCTGATCCAAAACTTGATTTGGGCCGAGATGGTTAATGAACTAACATGATTAACTAGTTAGAATAAGATTTATGATGGATGTACAGTAAAACTAATATAAATTAATAATATTGGGACTATGATATTTTATTAATTTATATTGGTATTAATTTATCTATATTTATTAATTTATAGAAAGTTTTGTTTCAATTGTGAAAACTTCTTTTTAAAAAATACGAGTTAAAGCAATGTGATCTAAATAAAATTAATATTTTGGATGTTATAAATTTTATAGTTTTAGCCTTAAACACTTAATATTTCGAAGAAAAAATAATTTATTTTAACAATGAATAACAACGATTATAGAATTCACATATACAAACGATATACATAAATTAAAATTCAGAAATAGTGACATCCATTGTTGTATTTTAAAAACTTATACGGGTATTAAAACAAATATTATACATATTCAAAATTTGAAAACTTACAAAAATTTTTACCTATTTTTATGAAAAATTCTAAAACTATTATATATATATATATGTGCAAATTTATATGATTATTAATTTATGATATTATAAAGACTATATTTTTACATAGGGATTTCAAAAAATTTATTATCTTATTATTTTATCAAATTTGGTTAATTTTTACACTGGCCCGACTCGGAACCGACCAAATTTATTAATTTATCGTGTTTATTAATTTATCGAATATTAATTTATAGAGGTTCTACTGTATCTAGGTGATAAATACATTGTGATAGTGACATAGTGTTAACTGGTTTATTAGTAGTACTTTAATTTAATTTAATAATAAATATTTATTTTCAACAATAATGGGCCTTAAAGTATGATGTCAATGCGCATAAAGCCTTTCCACTAAGTAATAATGTAAATCATTGTATTACTTTATTAAACTCTTTTTAGTTATTTATCATACACGACTCACACGACAGTGGGAAAAAGAAAACCAAAATAAAAATCTCTTTTGTTTTTCTTCTTCTCTTAGAGTCACAGATAGAAAAAGGGAAAGTGGAAAGGAAAATTAGAAAACTATCATTTTCTCTTCCTAACCTTTCATTTCATTTACATAGAGAGATAGAGAGACACAGAGAGAGATTTTTTTGCTTTGATTTTTTTTTTGGGTATTGTTCTAAGTTTCTTGATATATATATATATATATATATTTTCTTAAATAATTTGATCGATCATTAAAGATGGGGGTGGTTTTGTTCAGTCATGATCATTCTCCGGTTATGTAGTTCCCATTGTTGCCGTTGTTGAAGCTGTCTTATGATCAGAATCCGACGCATCTCCGACAATCTCAACCGGAGAATCTCTTGTTCTGTCACGAGCCTGTTATTGTCGGAATTCACTCGTTGAAGCTGGTACAAAACTAACTGGAGCCGGTTCCCGAGCTCGCGGTTTTCTAAATCGAGCCGGTTTACTTGGTCCCGTAAGTTATCTATGTGACTTTGTTTACGCATCCTCGACCGTTTCGCTGATTCCCGGTTTGATTCCATCCTCTTCCTCTTCCGCTCGTCGGTCATCTCCGGTTGGATCAATTTTTTCCGGTTACGGTTATGCTCTCCCGAACCGAAATTTGAGATGGCTGTCAATTGTTTTGAGTCGTCCGAATCCGGTTCGTCTGCTTGAGAGCACGGTAGACCGTTTGATCTGTTGGCGTCATCAAAACTGGAATTAGTTTTGACGAAACCGGCACAAGAAACGTCAGAACCGGTTTTCATGTCATGAGAACCGGAATTAATTTTGACAGAACCAGTGTCGGATTCACCATCACAAGGACTCGGGACGGCCGGTTCAAGAAACATTTGGTCCACGGAAAAGAGATCAGAGCAGCCCCATTCCCAAGGAGTGAACCCGGTTTGGAAACCCGAGAATTGATTAACCAAACCCGGTTCCGAGAATGAGAAGGCCGGTACAGTGGACAACATAATTGCTAATATTTTTTCTAATAGAGAGATGAGAGAAATTAGAAGGGGAAAAGGGAAGAATTGCATTGTTGGAGCTTGATATTTATTAGCAAACCAGAGGGGTAGTTTGGTCATATTTGTAAAATACGATGTACGACCGTAAATTATACTGTATAAACAGCTTTTGAGTCATGTTGCACTATGGTGGGGTTAAAAACTTGAAAATTTTATTTGGTAGAGCCAACTTTTGTAAAAGCAGGAAATATTTTGTAGGGCACCAATAGCTTGTTTTGGGTCCATATAACCAAAAAATAAAATTTGAAATTTTTGTAACCAAATGTCTGTATAGCTTAGTGATGAAGAAAACAGTCCACATTTCACACGTTTTAAGAAATTCAAGAATGAGATATTTCTTTACACTCCTATAAAAAGTTTACTTTTCATATTGAAATTGAATACTTCATATAGTTTTCTCTGGAATTGCTTGGTAGAAGATTTAACCAAAAAAAAAAAATGTTGATACCAAATTCTATATATAGTCATCAAGAAAAAGAAAAAACATTCCACGAACATCTGTATCTCCCTGATCATAATTCCTTTTTAATTCTCTCGTATCAACATTTGTTTGTAATTGAGTACATGTCTCACCATTACTTGTAAATATATAAATTATAGTATATGATACTATCACTTCATATTTTCTTCAAATCCAGTTTTGTTGTCATATTTATTTTTAATTGTATGTGAACATATGCTGGTTATGATATTGACGGCCACAGTAGAGTAATTTTTGGTTCTTTATGTTTCACTGTTTAATCATCTTTCTTAAAGAGAAAGCCAATCTTTCTTTTAACACGGGATGGACACACTGGAGAGGGACTAGAATCATCATCTCAATCGGAAAAAAAAAAAAAAAAAAAAAAAGAGAATCTAAGGAACATACTTTCCAATTAACTGAACCAAACTGGTGCTATGAACCACATGGTGGTGGGCGAGTGGTTCTCGTTTGGTTGGAAGGATCGCCCTGTTGGTCTAGGCCCGGGATCGATCTTCTCCAGACGCAGTTTTGCTCTCTCACTCCTGTGGCCACCTGGGAATTTACATGCGGACTTGTTCAGGCGTCCCAGACCACCAGTTTATCAGGGGGCCCTTAAGTGGAGGCTTAAAAATCCCTGTGACGTGGGCTTAGGCCCAGTGAACTAGTCAGATCACTGTGTGGTCTGGATACTGGGTTATAAAAAAAACTGGTGCTCTGCATGAGAGATGAGACCAATGCTTTTTGTAAAAGAACCCTATAAGTTAACCTATGACCAAAAAGTAAGAGTATATATACTTGCTTGCTACACGGAAACATTTAATCTTTAGATTTCAAGTATATATCAAATGTATAGTATTTTTAGATTAATTTATACAAAATATATTGAAAAAAATAGAGGAATGTTTAAATTATTAATAAATCTTCAAAAATATATTATTTCGTAAATAGTGTTTAATTAAATTTCTTTTGTAAAAAAAAATTACAACAGAAAATAATGACAATATAGAAAATAAATTGATATTTTATCTTAATATTGAATTGTTTTCTCTTCGGTTAAAATGCTGCATCATTCATAATACATATTCATACCACGTTACACATATTTCGCTTAAGAACTTACCAAACTAAGAAAAAATGATTAATAAGAATGAAAAATGCGCCTAGACTTTAAATCACACAAGCCCAAGTACAAATTTCTGACTAAAAAATAAATTCATCCCAAAATATATTGTAACTATATTAAAGTTTAGAATAGCCTTTTTTTTTTTTTTAAGTTTAGAATAGCTTTACTTAGCTTATTTATGGTCAGAAAACAAAAATGTGGAGCAACGGCCACATGCATTTCAAATAGAATAAAGCAGAGAGGACAAAGACATATAATATATATATATATATATATATAATTGCATACTTATATACACGCAGCTTTATAATAGCCAGATTCATGTTTTGGTTCGGTCTCATGTGAAATCAACTTTAAATGTCCAGAAAAAAAGCTTCACGTCTTAGCTTTTCATATTATCCCGATTTCATTTTAATTGTCATCAATAAATAAATATTCCATTGCATATACGCAGAGATATGTTATTATGTGATTTTGCGCATCTTAAGTCACATATTGCATGTTTTTAGTGTACAGTAAAAAATCGAGTGGAGGGACCGGTCGTATCGCAGACCGGTCGATGAGCCAGGAGCCAAGTTTGTGCCCGGCTTGTGCCCGGCTTGTGAACCAGCTTTCAACATGGCTTATGGCCAGTACGTGATCATTTAAAACAAAAAATCGTTTTGTTTCAGGTTCTTGCGAGTTACAACAAAGTTATGTTCTGAGATAATCATTTACAGTTTGATAAACTAGAAAAAGCTTTTATATCTTGATCCTAATTAGTACAAAGTTCTTAAAACTTGATTCTATATACATATAATTATTTTTGATACAATGATTTTTCCCTAGTGGAATTACAAAAATCTTTATCTTGAAAAGTTTTTTACCTCATTATTGTATTAAAGGCAACAGATATCAATACACATATATCATGGGAAATGAAAAAAGTTTACAAGACGGAACGCACACATTTACTTGTAAATTGATGTCACAACTTTATTTTGAATATTCGTTGAACCTTAACACGTAAATACATACTCAATAATTTAAAGATTTGAATGTTCTATAATAGTTTTTTTTTCGTTTGTACTCACGCGCATATTTACCATATGGAAATCCGGACAATGAACACGGTGGCAACATTAATACATATATATATACAAACAACTAAATTAAAATCCACATCATATATTTTAGAAAATTTTCGAGTTACATTATTATTTATTTCTTTTACATATTTGTAGACATAAGTAGAATCTTTATACATAACTTCTTGAATATAACGCAAGTAATGGTCATGCGAATCATGTAGAAGACATTATTCTTTACCCTTATGCTAATTAACGAACTTCCCTTTGCTTGAGGAAACATATATCAGTTTTGATGCGTATAGGTATATATTATATATGGATCTTGTACAATTAGATACTTACGGAAAAACCAATTATAACTTTTGATTTTTCTACCTGTATGTAGAAATTTTACTATATAAACTGAAAAGAAAAATTTGTTTCCAAAGTTTAAATAAAAAAACAACGAAAGAACTAATTCGTAAAAAAAGAGTGAACAGAATTCACAAAAACTACCATTGAAATGTAACGGAATTTCAATAGATCAGATGTATATATATTCTTAAAAATTTCATACTAATTCTTAAAATTTTTGTTAAAACTTCAAATACTTATTTTGTAAGATTTTAGTCAACTTGGTGTGTATGCTATTTATTGTATATATGCTAATTACTTAGCCGACGGCTACAGTTTAGGTCATATTAAATTTGAATCTTTAACTAAAGTCGAGGAGGAAAACTTTTATAAAAAGTATGGACAAATCCTATATCTTTTATATGACCTCTTATATTAATCATAATTAAATGACGCATGTAAAGTTTTTAATAACTATAAAAAATACAGGCCATATGCCCATATAACGACAAATTTTTAAAATTGGTAAAAACCTAAATGTGTCTATTATTTTTGTTAAAGAAAAACTTAAACGTGTCGTTTCTTTGGCAATGGATGTTAACATGCAACACTCTTTCTCTTTAAATCTTCTTAAAAAAATCTGTCGTTTCTATGAAAATGAGTTGCAAATTTTCGATGTTCATTGAGTACGGATTAAAAATAATATAAAAACAAACTTTACGGATACAAATAATATAGAATGCTGTTTAGTTTAGGATAAATTAGTCTCCAAGTCGTCGCATATTGGAGAAATCTATTGTCAATATTTTTTAAGAAATATATATTATAATTCCTTATTAGTTATATTAATTAGATATAAAATATATATATATATATATATATATAATTAAGTCATAAATATATTAATAAGACTATGACCAATGGCAACTAAATGTCTAAATGCTAACATTAACCCTAGTGAAAAGGGGTTTACTTCAACCTCCACATCGACCTAAACTTTCACGTCGATTAAGTTTTGGCTCGACCTTGTACCCAACACATCCAGAAAATTATACTCTATCACTTCTACAGTTCAACAAATTAACGATATATATTTTTCCTAAATTAATTTCATGTTTTTGTCGCCTTGCATCGTTCGTGTTAACACATATATTTGTGTGTGTGTGGTGTATATTTATGAGTAAATGGATGTAAAGTAACGTTAGCAATCCACTAATTATGCCTTTTATGTTTGTGGTGGAGTGTTCGTTGAGATTTATGATTTATCGTATGGCGTCATTTGGTACGTCATTAGGGTTCTACTTATAGTTCCAATTGTATAAATATCAATATATATGAACTGTGTGCATCGTATATATATATGTACATACATGCATATGGATAAATGTTTACGTAAGGGTAGCTTTAGTTAACGAGTTTCGATCTTTTTCGATTTTTTTTTGCTTTGCAACTTTAAAAATCGATTGGTTTCTCGTGATATTAACATATTATATAGGTGGGGATGCAAATATTGGGATAATTGTACTAATGACATCAGTGAATGATATATCATAACTTTCATACAATTAAAAAATAGTTTTTCTGCGTATCGACCTACTAAATTAAGTTTTAGTTTTTTTCCGAATGTACCTCCATCATGGCTGAATCATTGGCCGTAGAAAAAAGATATATTAATTTCAGGTTCTGAATTTTTTGCTTTTTTTTTTGATAATTCAGAATTTTAGTTAATAGATCAAGGGCTTTATGAATAAAAATAGAGTGATGGAATTCATATTTTTGAGAGAAGAAAAAGGAGGGACCCATGTGAAGATTAAGTTCTTAACGATGTTTCCTGTTTTGCACTGGGCCTTTATAAAGAGAAGGGTTTAGGATTGTATTGGGCCCTTATATTTGTACATTTTGGCCCGATATAAAAAAACCGAAGGCTGACTATTATTACCTCACGTTACGGGTCAACGTTTTTGTAAACTAAGCAGCAATGCCAAATAATATTATTTTATTTTACTTTGGATTGGTTTTGGTGATTTGGTCCAATTACAATCTCCTTTACCCACTTATCAGTAGTGGCATATTATGCCAAAAAACAATTTTCAGCAGTGGCAGAAATATATACGTAAGTCCATCACCTCCCTATAAATATACTTCTTGATGTTTCAAAATAAAAAAAGTTTTATATATATTAATGGGGTTTTTTCTTGTTTTCCACTAAAGATATATAAATATAAATATATATGCAGCTAATTTTCTTGAAGTATGAATCTATGATGGATAAATGGTTAATCTTTAGAAACACTATGAAATTTTATCAAATCCACTTTTCTATATATATATATATCCTAAAAACTATGAAATTTTGAAAACGAGTGAAATAGATACACATCTTTTGTTTCCTTTTGAAAAAGAGTGAAATAGATATACATCTTTTTTTTTTTTTTACAACTGTAATTTTTTAATAGATAAGAACATTAACAAATGAAAAGATAAGATCAAAACACTCTATTTTTTTGTTCTTAAAATAAGAACTAGACTAAGAAAAGAGATGACCAAGATTGACTATATATAAAGATGGTTTAGTCATTGGTTTTCAATATATCCATAATTAATTTATAATCACAAAATGGCAAATCTCTCCAGTTTACTCACGACAGCTCTCCTCCTTTGCACCGCCATGCTAACGTGCACCGCCCGCCCGGAACCTGCCTACTTCGCCTCCTTCACAACCTCTCCGGCGGATACACTTAGTCTGGTTAGTGAGACTATATATATTCGTAGTTTCGTACACAAATGTTATGTAGATTCATGCGTAGTTATGTACTTTCGTTTTGTCATTTATTCCTATAATTATGTTTCAGGAAATGATAGAATCAAAACTACATGACGTGGCGGGAGAGAGCTGCGATAAAGAAGACGACGAAGATTGCTTGGTGAGAAGAACATTGACGGCTCATCTTGATTATATCTATACACAGAAGAATAGTCACCATTAGCTATAAATGTTAATTATTGTAACTGTTGTGAATTCAAATTATTCTCACATGTTACGAATGTGTATATAGAATCATTAATGATTAATTCAATTGATTCTTTTAATGGAAATGTCAAATTATTTCCAGTGTATATAGAATCCTTAAAAAAATTTAATTCTGTTTTATTTTAATTGAAAGTGTCAAATTACCCCCACATAGTATGTGTGTATACATATAAATGGCATAACAAATTAAATCTAAAATGCGTCTGAAAAATATATGATTACATCTTTCTGTTTTATTAAAAAAAAAAATATACAAGAATGTTAAGCAGGTAGATAAAATGTTATAAGCTACCATCTGGAAAGATTTGGAGGATTTTGAAATGAGAAATCTCCCCAAGAAGACGACTGATCAAACGCAGATGATGAAGAACTCTGCTTTGCTGCATCATCCAAACTCTTGAGCGGTTCAGCCTGCACAGGCTCATGCTCAGGTGCACCGGTTAGCCTCTGAACCAACTCTTTGAAGTTTACTGGCTCGACTCGGTACACATGGGGGTGCATTGGATTCAAAGGGGATGATGATGATATTGCAGGCCTCTTCAAGGGCTTTGAAGGTTGTTTACGGGTCGAATGGAGCGATGTTAGGTAATTTTTCGTTGTCCTTGTCGCGGTTTCTTGAGCGTTAAGGTAACTCTGAGACATAAATTGCTGTGATGTTGCTTCCATTGAGACTAGAGATATCGCTTAAAATTCTGTAGATGTGAAGTTATGTCTTCTGATATATATTGATGGATGTGCAACATTTTCAACGCGGGTCAAGCCTTTGGTTTTTGACTCTTAAGAACCTTGTTTGTTTTTTTTAGTTTTGTTTATGAGAAACATAAGTGAAAAAAAGGGAAATTTCAACGTGTGTGTTCTAAATATTCTATAGTTTTCTAAGTTTCTGATCATAGTAGGATAACTATCTAAAAGGAAGATTCTATTATCAAACTGAATACTTCATCAAATATTAGAATAAAGAAGGCCGTGGCCGTCCACGTGACGTTTTGTTATTATTATTTGTAAATTGTAATGATGAGAAGATTAAATACTTAATACTTATCAATAGCCTTCGGATTTGAATCTGAATCGGATTCCTTGATCTACTATTTGATTTACTTTTTATAACAAGTAATCTATTACTCCTTCCGTTTCATAATATAAGTTAATATAAGTTATTTTAGGTAAACACGCCGATTAAGAAGATCTACTGTTTAATAATTCAACTAATCATAAAAGAGATTACATAATATAAATGATAATAAAATATTAAAGTAATATATAATTTACATTGAAACTCGAAAAGACTTATATTGTGAAACAAATTTTTTTATCCAAACGCCTTATATTATGAAACGGAGGAAGTATTTGATTTCTAAAAGTGCTACTACGGTCACCAAAATAATAAGAAGGGGAAAACATATGCAACCATTTAAGAAAATAAAGTTTCAACTCAAAATTACAAATCTAAAACAGGTGTAATAGTAATATAGAGCAAACGCTTTTATAAATTTATAACAATTTAAGATATTTTTCATTCAATTTATTTTATATATTTGTATTTTGTAACTTGAATTTTTTTTAAGAAAACTATTTTTAGATTAAAAGTGAAAACATAATTCGTTTAAAATCATGTTAACAAATATGGAGCTATAACTTATCCAATCCACACCCCAAAATGCTCTGTTTGTATTTCTCAGAAAGTTTCATTCCTCTGCTTTTAAAAGAAATTGAAAGTAAAATTGAAATACGAAAGAAAAACACACGTTAATCTACAAATCAGTGTTAATCTACAAATCAGTCACGTTGGATAGGAAAACCAAGTTGAATGTTTGGAATCACTAACGATCAATGTTGGATCTAAAATCCGGTTAGTTCTTATATCATTATGCAAATTTAGTATCAAACAATAATTTTTTTTAAAAAAAAAACACAAAAGAAAAAACTTTTCAAAATCCGAAAAACGGAAATCAAAATTTTTAAAACTATTTTTAAAAATTAGAATTAAAACATGAATGCTAAATCTACATAATGATAGGAAAAAACAAGTTGAATGTTTGGAATCGCTAACGACTAATGCTGGAACCAAAATCCGGTTAGTTTTCATATCATTATGCAAATTTAGTATCATACAATAAAACTTAAAAAAACACAGAAAAACTTGAAATGCTAAATCTACATAATGATAAAAAAAACAGATTGAATGTTCGGAATCGCTAACGACCAATGTCGGATCCCAAATCCTATTAGTTTCCATATCATTATGCAAATTTATTATCAATTTTTAAATCTTAAAGCACAAAAAGATTTTCGAAATCCGAAAAGAACGAAAATCTAAATTTTTAAACCTATTTTTAAAATTAGAATTAAACATGAATGCTAAATCTACATAATGATAGGAAAAAACAAGTTGAATGTTTGGAATCGCTAACGACTAATGCTGGAACCAAAATCCGGTTAGTTTTCATATCATTATGCAAATTTAGTATCAAACAATAAAACTTAAAAAAACACAGAAAAACTTGAAATGCTAAATCTACATAATGATAAAAAAAACAGATTGAATGTTTGGAATCGCTAACGACCAATGTTGGATCCAAAATCCTATTAGTTTTCATATCATTATGCAAATTTATTATCAATTTTTTTTTTTTAAAGCACAAAAAGATTTTAAAAATCCGAAAAGAAAGAAAATCAAAAAATTTAAAACTATTTAAAAAATCAAAATTAAAACTGGAATGCTAAATCTGCATAATAATAGTAAAAACAAATTGAATGTTTGGAATCGCTAACGACTAATGCTGGATCCAAAATCCGGTTAGTTTTCATATCATTATGTACATTTAGTATCCATAAAAAAAGTTTAAAAAAACAAACACAAAAAAAAAACTTTTAAAAATCCAAAAAGAAACAAAATCAAAATTTTTATAAAACGATTTTAAAAAATTCAAATTAAAAACTGGAATGCTGAATCTACATAATAATAGGAAAAACAAGTTGAATGTTTGGAATCGCTAACGACTAATGCTGGATCCAAAATCCGGTTAGTTTTCATATCATTATGTAAATTTAGTATCCATAAAAAAAATTTAAAAAACAAACACAAGAAAAAGCTTTTAAAAATCCGAAAAGAAACAAAACCAAAAATTTAAAAACTATTTTTAAAAGTCGAAATTAAAAACTTGAATGCTAAATCAACATAATAATAGGAAAAACAAGTTGAATGTTTGGAATCGCTAACGACTAATGCTGGATCCAAAATCCGGTTAGTTTTCAAATCGTTATGCAAATTTAGTATCCAAGTTTTTTCAAAACCGTAAGAATTAAAAAAAAAAAACCAAAAAAATTTCAAAACGATTTTTGATTTAAAATTAAAATCTGCTAAAATTTTTGAATTAAAAAAAATAAGAAGGGCTAGAAATTGACCTTTCTTATGGGCTGAAAATGATTTTCTTTTTGTTGGGCTTTGTTGTGCAAAAGGGCTTTGATGACATCATCAATCCAACCCACTCACCACTCTGCATCGTGAAAGCCATCCTTTAATCTCCACCGGAAACGCAAGCCATCACCGTCGTCGATTGCTGCTCGCCGGAGAGAATCTTCAATGAAAAACGCAACCTCTCTGTAAACGCAAAAGCAGTCTTCACCGGAAAAGCAAAGCCACGTGATCATCATCTTCAATCACGATCTTCTCTTGTTTGGTTGTCGAAGAGCAACGGCAAAGAAACTCTCTCTCTCTCTCTGCGTTTCTCTGGGTTCGTGATGATGATGCTAAAACTTTTAGACAGAGAGAAGAGAGGATGCGGGAGATGTATATATACATACAATTTGTTGTTGTTTAGGATTCATTCATTGTTTCCTTTTCTTTTTTTTTGGGGTTTCAAAGTTTCCTTTTTTTTTTTTGGATTCAAAATTTCCTTTTTTCTTAATTAGCACTAAGCTTATTTCCCTTTGGATATTTCTTTCTTTAAACAACAACAATGGAGATGAGAAAAGCTTGTCAAAAAAGGACGAAGAAGGAGAAACCAGAGCTTGTGATTGCAGAAACAGAGCTCAAGGCTACACAAGGTTAGAGTCTCAGCAATGGAAATACATAAAGAGGCTGAATTTCTCAAGAATTAGGACTGAAGCAGGTGATGAATCTCTTTCTACTTGGAATGGGAAATAATCCGTCTTCAGTGACTTGTATAAAAAGAGTGGAGAAAACGACTACGATCACCCTGCCTACGGATATTGCAAATAGAAGGTCCTGGACATAGTTTGGCCTCAAGCATCACCTCTCTCAGACAGAAGCTGGTCGATTTGCTCTTGAGTTCCAGGAACTAAAACAAACCTTATTCCCAGATGATGAAGAAACGCTATGTCCTGCCTGCACAAAAAATCAAATCACTTCACCTTCTACTCAAATACGAGAGCTGAAAACTCAAGCACATTGCAAAAAAAAAGATACTATCTTGAACCAGATCAGATGGTTACTCGTTTTTGCTGTTTTGGTACAAGATTAACTCATAAACAGTTACAAAATATACTACTTGCAAATATTTAGAAGAAAGTAAATAAAGTGATGTTGGATAACTAAGACACAAATATTCATCAGTGCATGATGAAGTTTAGTGGTAATTACTCATACTTTTGGACGGTAGATCGTTCATGTATATTCAATTTATTATTTACTGCAATTTGCCGATTATTTTTTCCTTAAATTTTGTATGTTCACATCTCATATTTTTCACGTTTTAAAGTCAACTCTTGACTTTACATTTTCTTAGCATATATCATATATGGTATAAATATATAAATACAATGGGTCTAATAATTGAAGGGGTTACGATCAAAATACGCTCCACATTTAAGAGTACCATAACATTATTTTCTTATCATAATCAAATTTTATCTTTTGTTTAGTATGGATTCCATCAAACTCTCAACGTCTCGTGGCTAATGCTGTATAAAAATAATCAACCAAAAAGAATAAATCGTCCTTTACTTATTGGATACAATTATGCATCTCCGTACGCAAATGCCATAAGTCTATACTTTTTAAGTTTTATATATTTTTCCGTATACTATATAGTTCAAATGTGTATATACATACATATATAAATATAAAATTATGTCGGGACCCAAATTTGTATGTATATAAATCATCGCAAAACCTTGTTAAATGTTCAGCATCTTACATAAATCATTGCAAAACCTAAGTTTCTCTTCTCACTTTGTGATAAAGATAAGATGAGCAAGAAAAAGGAGACGAAGCTAAGCAAGTACATAAAAGTTCCCATAAAGATGCTGGTCAAAGCTAGAGACTTGTACATACAAAGCATGAATCAATGGTCTTCCCATGACCTTATTGGCAGCGGCATGGGTTTAGGGATACCGGTCTGCAACGTAAGCACTCTTCCGCGAAGTTTTAGCGCTAGCCACGCCCAATATTCCATGAGACCTGAAGATGATCGTGTGCCTGAGCTTGTGAGAGCCGCATCAGCTAGAAATATGATCATTGGTGATGCGCGACATGGACCATCGAAATTGCGGAAAGCTAAGAGTTCGAGAAGCTGTGGTGGTCTTCATGGGTTTGAGAAAATTGATGAGACAAGTCCTTTGATTAGTTTTGGGAGTAAGCACAAGATGCTTCAAAAGAGTAAGAGTTACGGTGTTGCCAAATATACTTATTCGCTCCAATAATTGTTTTGTTTATGTGTTACGGGTCAGTTTCGATTTCCATTTAGAATCTTTGGTATATATTATGTGTGATTCAGATCGAGAGGTTGGGTCAGGGTGTCTTATGTAATTAAGAATCGACCAAATGTGAATACTTGTCATGCATGGGTGTTTTAATATCGTTATTAATGCCTATTGTTGTAAACTTGAAAGCAAAATGTTAGTTTGCCCAAAAAAAAAAAAAAGCAAAATGTTAATGTGATATATATTGTTTGTTACAATCCATGATTCATAGTTGCTTTCACAAAATGAAATAGTCTTCTCACACAAATAAATACACATGTGATTGTGATATTATAACCAATATCTAGATATGTACATGCATCACCAAACTCAATAATTATGAAATGGCCATAGATGTGATGGTTCATAACTGTGGATAATTGACCTGAAGAAGGAGACATTAGTTCTAATTTCGTCGATATATCATTACATGAATTCAAATCCCATTACCTTTTTTTAAAAATTTAATTGGTTGGAAAAGAGGAATATGTCACAAAATTTGAGTAAACAATGTGTTTAAACCAAATGCAAAACTGTTCGTTGATTTGGTTGTGTCATGCATTAGGACATGGACACAAAAATTACGACCAATTCTTTTTTCAGTTATACACAACACAAAGTGAATGACATTAGCTCTTTTTCTCTTCCTTTGTGTCTACTTAATTTTCATAACCAACTTATCAAAGTACTTATTAAGAAAATAATCACCAAGCCTCATTAGGATAATCGAACGGCAGAGGTTGAAGCGGAGAAGTCTTACTCAAATCAGAATGCACGTGACCATACACGCGCATCACCTGATTATCAGCAAAATTAAGGGCTCTGATAATCTCATTCCAACACGTGTCACCATCGTAACTCGGATTATGATCACCGCTACATGGTTGACATCCCGTAAAATGCGTTACAAACGCGCGTCTACGACTACCTCTCCCACCAAACTCGCCTTTCAAAAACCGCTCTTCTCTAAACGCACCGTATCGCTCGCTCACTTTCTCCGCGTGACGTCTACGCAACGTGTCGTCTTCTCGTTCCATCTCAAGATACCGCTCCGTCACGTTAGCGAAACCATCAACTACACCAATCCAATACCCTTGGAGATAATACTCTCCTTCGAGGTATATCTTAGGATAATACAACTCTTTATGTTTATAAAGCAAATAAATCAGAGCCGTCTGATCATCTGACTCTGGAAACAACTTATCTTTGAATATCGACCGTTGGATCGGACCCCACTTTTTGTAATCTGGACTCACTGGTCCCATACTCTTCCACGTGTCAATTAAGTCCATTGACCATTGACAATTCCTGATTAAAAAAACGCCGGCGTTTAACGCCGTCCAACTCGGTTTATCGTAGATTATATTTGGCCAACCGTGAACGACGAGGTTATGTTGACGGTAACGGTGAAGCGGCGGTTTAAATTCCATGTCGGTGAAGATAGCGTCGGAATCAACCCACCAAATCCACTCCGCCTCTGGGTGAGCAAGCATCGCCGCTTTAACCACCGGAAGTTTCGCCCAATACGAATTCATCTTCGGATGAAGAAGAGCATTGCTGTAGAAGATTTCATGGCCATGGATTCGAGCGTAATCGACTTTGTTTTTGAAGCACCGGAGTAACAAATGGTCTCCGATTGGGTTTTTACACGGCGAGGATTGTGAACCGGTTACCATTAAGATCCGGTTTTCTGAACCGGGTTTGAATGATGGGTGTGATTTAAACCATTGGTGCCGTTTCTCGTCCCAGTTTGTGATTGATTTCTCGATCGAGTAGCTTAGCTCCGGATCGTCGTAAAAACCGGGTTCACGTGGGTCCAATTGCATGTTTAAACCGGAGCATTGAACCGGTTCGCCGCCGTGACGTAAACCGGTGAAGGTGAAAGTGAAAGAAGGTGAAAAGATTGAGAAGTAAGACCAGACGAGAGTAAGAGACATGAAAGCTCCGGCAAGAAAGATAGCACCATCTGATAAACATACAGTGGTTTTGGTCTTTGCGCCGCCGTACTTTCCCATCGGAGATGATGGGATTGAGAATGTGAAAAAAATCTAAAATGAAGTGATTAGAGAAGATGAGAAATTTCAGTAAAACTCTGAAAACAGTTGGGTGATGAAGTAAAGAAATAATCTTTTCTTATTAAGAGTTTATTGGCTTAAATGTGAGGTGATTTAGTCAACTAAATGTATGGTAAGATAATGGGATTATTATAATTCTGACACAGATTTGACATAGTTTTTAGTTTTTCTCCTAATATAAAATTGATATTACTAACGAAACATTTATGGGAAGTGTTAAGACTTTGAACTTTGAAGTCAGGTTATTAATGCACAGGATTTATATATAGAATGTAATCGTTTGAGAATTTCTACTAATTAAAGTTATCTCTCTATTATAGATAAAAATCTAACTAATTATTTCCATATAAATCTGAGCCATAATGCTCAAAAATATTAAAAGGATAAATATCATTTACGTAATTTGTTTTACAATTTATTAGTATCCAGAAACCAGAATCACAATCGTTGTTTACAACAAATATATATATTTTACAGAAACAAATGAATTTTTAAATTAATTACTTCAATGCTAAATATACTTTTAATAGAATAATTAGAGTTCCGTCAAAGCCCATTTATGGCCCACGTATAAAACGTCGCCGTTTCATTCCGACTCTTTAAGTTTTTCACCTCCGACCAGCAAGTAATCCCGGAACTTGTCACTCCGGTGATAATGGAGGCCAAGAGCAAGAAAGCAGGAGCCTCTCGTCTATGCTGCTTATGCTTCAAGAGGCAATTTTTCTTTCTTCTCTTTTTGCCTAGAATCTCGTGTTTTTGGGTTTTAGCTAAGATTTTAAGCTGTACTGTAAGATTTGGCTCTCTTATTAATCGCATTGGTTTGGATTAGGATCTCTGTGTGGAATCGAATCAAAATTATCATTCTGCTTCGTTGGAATTGGATCAATAGTGAAAGTGACAATTTTTGTTTTTTTAGTCTATTGCTAGTTGCCTATTTTGGTGTTATGTATGACAAGTGATTGAGTATGTGTGTTTTAAAGATATACAGAGAGTGCTTCTATGAGGTTTTTGAGGAGGAGACTCATCAAGTCATTGTTCAGAATCGTTTATTCAAATTTGTGCTTCTTTTTGAATTCTGTATGTGTTAGGTGAATGTTATATAGCGTTTTATTCATTTGATGGGTTCTTTATTTTTCTTTTCCAGTATGGTTTGCCTCGTCAGATTGTTTCATACAAAGATATGTATGGATGGACAATGGACGACATTGTGAAAATGATCGGTTCGAAGAACAATTGCACCTTTTTGTGGTGTATTCCGTCTACAGGTAAGGAGCAGTTTTCTTTTTGTTGTTCAACTTACAGTTTGTCAATAACTATGCATAACAACAACAACAACAATTTTGTGTTTAATTGCTTCTGTTTGGTAAATCCGAAGGCACTTGATCGAAGAGCTGCGTTATTGAAAGTAGATAAGCTAGTCGCTGGACATAATGCAGATGATATAGCAGAAACCGTTCTCTTGAACATATTGCGAGGGGATATTGCTAGGTAAGTATTTGTTGATTGATATTTGTAATATTGGCAACTGTAGATTAAGTCGGTGCACATCGATTACTACTGGTGAAGATGGTCCCATTCCAAGATGTAAACCTTTCAAGTATACGACGAAAAAGGATTGTCATATATCCTTCACTGAATAATCCTTTTGTTCTGAATACTACTGATGATTATATATCGTTTAAACTGCTCAATAAAAGATATTGTGATACCTTAACATATTGCTATACATATGCTTATTTCAAGAAGCTGGATTACTTCTAAGTGTGCAATCATCGACTTTTTGTAGGGTTTTCTCTGTTCTTAAGTTACAGTTTCAGCCAATCTCTAGTTATTTTTATGGCTTAAGACAACCCTTGTTTTTTTTAGTTTGCAGGCGTGTACTCTCCTAATGCATATTCGTGGGTTTGCCCGTGAGTTCATCAAAGATTTGGAAAGAATAAGGTTCTTTCTCGACCCTTTTTGCTTCAGCTTCTTTGCTTGATATGACTGCTCTCAAAGCCACTTTGTTCTTAGAATTTTGCTTTCTGATAAGAGTGAATTTTGGCCATTAAGTTGACTAGTACTGTGATCGGTTCTTGCATTACTTGCTGATTGGTCTTAACTCAGTCATCTTCTCTAATCATAACACCCAAATGCTTGCTTCTTTATAATACTTGATTTCTCTTCCAAGTGTAGTACCTCTGTGTCGTCTCCATTTTTGTTGTTACAGTCGCCGAGTTTTTTGTTTTTGCCGGCGGAGTCACAGCGATGGGTTTTATGGGTTTTTACATTGGTTTTGAAATTAGAATTGATTTGAGTTCGGTTAATATTGGTTTAGAGGAGAAAACCATAAAAAATAAGACACGCGATGGGATTTTGAGAAAGAGGTGCGTGGACCAAAAAAGGCATGATTTCTGTGGATAAACCCCTTTAGAAATCGCAGACACGCGCTCAACGCGAGATGGGTGAGAGTGGGTTTGAAATCGTGCGATTGGTAAAAGTGGGGTATGAAGTGGAGCTCTCTGATTGGCTAAAAAACTAAAAATAGTAGACATATAGCTCCTCTCCTCCTCCTCCGATTATAAAATTTATGCTTCTTCTTCTTATAGACAAAATTTTGTCATTTTAATATTAGCCCCAGCTGAGAATGAAATTCAGATTTTCTTCAATCTGAAAGTTGTGTGTGTTTTAGATACACTTGAAAAAAAACTATAGAATCTGGACTTTGAGATACTAAACATTTCCTCTTCATTTTGCTAGTTTCCTATTTTAATGTTTGCTTCACTATAGGTGATGAACTTTCAAGTGCAAGGATCTATTTGGCCAAGACAAAACTGTTATTGTTCTCTCTTATCATTTTTGTGGTCTCTTAATAGGTTCCAAATGCCTCACAAACAGAGAGTAAGTGGCTGAGTAAGATTAGTTTTTTCAATCTCTCCATGGATGGCATATATGTTTACTTTGTCAAGCATAGTGTAAGTCCTCCATATTTGTTAGATGAAAAGAAGAAGCTGGTGAGATTTCTATGTGTATACATATATATATGTTCTGTATGAAAAAAGTTATATAAGCTTACTCGGTTTGTGTGAGAACTGCCACTATTTTGTTCCTCCATTATGTTCAGCTCTCTCTAGAACAAAGTTTAGCCTAAAGGTTATACTTAGACATGATCTCACTGATGATGCTTTTGCTTAGCTAAAATTAGGATGAGTCTTAAATTATTAAGTCAAGACTATCTGATATAATGATTTTTTATAAACTCTTAAAATTCTTGTGATTAATCTTACTTAATTAACAGTGAGGTCAGGTCGTTTTGGCGGTTAGTGGCATAACTGTATAAAAACTCAGGATTGCACTGAGGTAAGCAACCTAACACATCATTGAAAGACACCAATCTGGAAAGTCCGGAGAGTATTCTTCAGGATTTTGTCAAAAGTCTTGTGAAATTCGTGGGTTTGTGTCAATATGTAGACATTTCTCCTCATGCACAGATACTGTCGCTTTTGATTCCTGGTTTGGCTCGTTGAAAGTCAAAAAGCCTTCATTATTTTAATACATGATTCAGCTTCTGCGTTAAAGCTAGGTTTCGTCATTGGTACCGTGGTTGACTTCGTATGCATGTTATAACATAAGAAAATGTTCTTGTTTGTTGATTGCTCCCTGAGATCCAGGAACTTTTGTCTAAAGTAAGCAAAAACTGCTTCTTCAAAGATGTTGTGCCAAAAGTCAGAAATCTTGTTGAATCAAGATTAAGCAAAAATACTATGAAGCTGGATTACTTCAAAGATGTTAAGCAAATACTATGAAGCTGGATTACTTCTCCACTGAATGTAAGTTTGCAATCATCAATTTTTTGTAAGGTTTTCTCTGTTCTTAAGTTACAGTTTCAGCCAATCTCTAGTTGTTTTTATGGCTTAAGACAAGTCTTGTTTCTTTTTTTGAGTTTGCAGGTATATACTCTCCTAATGCATATCGTGGGTTTGCACGTGAGTTCTTTCTCGACCCTTTTTATTAGTATCCGCTAGAATGAAATAAGAAAACTAGATGAGATCTCTAACTTATACAAAGTGCAGGCCAAGGGAGATTGAGATACTTAGCTCTACGCCATATGGTTATAACAGTAAGACATTTGAGCTTCATACTATCTGTGTGGCTCCATTCTTTTTTTTTCTAATGTACTCCTAAAACATCTCCGATCTCTCTGATTGCAGAAAAATCATATATATACATCAGTTTCATCTGGGACTAATGCGGCAGTTATCAGAGGTGCACTGAGAGCCAAAGTTTGAAAAAAAACAATCTCCTGAGAGCCAGGAACTGTTGTTTAAAGTAAGCAAAACTGGTTCTTTTGCTAAAAGTCAGAATCTTGTTGCATCTCCTATTTATTACATCTGAAACTCTTGTCTTTATTGCTAGGTCAAATTTACAGGTACAAAACGAGGTAGAAAACCACATAATGACCATTTGCCATTGTTAGAAGCCAGCAGGTTTGTGATCATTATCATCATACATTGATCTACTCAAAGGCACTTTGTTTTGTTCTTAGAATTTTGCTTTCTGATAGAGTGAACTGTGGCCATTAAGTTGACTAGTACTGTGATCGGTTCTTGCATTACTTTCTGATTGGTCTTAACTCAGTCATCTTCTCTAATCATAACACCCAAATGCTTGCTTCTTTATAATACTGGTGGTGGCAATGGCCTCCCCTGCTCATTATGTCGTTGGACTGGATATATATCCAAAACTGCTTGCAGTGATCATTTTGTTTTCTTTCTAAACGATCATCAAGTATTTCTAACTTACAGATGTTTCTTGTTGCCTTTAGATTTAGGATTGACCGGTACAAAGCACGGTGATGGTGTCTAGTTATGACAGAAACTCAAAGAAATTCAAGATGGTTCTACTATTTGCCCATCCATGCTCTTTTGGATCAAAAACAACAAATGAAGTGGCCAGTTGTAATGAAGATAGATTTCAGTCTATCTCTTATAGACGGGGCTAAGTATACTTGCCCTGGTGGAAACATCTGTACAGCTAGTCCAATATCTGATTTTGATCCTTCAAGAGCAGAGATTTCGGATAATCAACTGCAATGGAGATGTTAAGTTCATACCTGCAAAAGATTTCTTCCTTCACCTTGATCATGATGCATATTTTGAGCAGTACATGACCATATAGGCATCAGCTAGTTTAAGATATTAAATGATAATGTTACTCTGCTTATGCCAATATTGGTGGTTATGATTTATATATATTGGTGCCAGAAGTATGTGTGAAACTGTGAATGTGTCTCATGTTCTTGGTCTTCCAATGTCTAAAGTGGTATGCAAAACCAAAAGACTTGGCGGTGGCTTTGGTGGTAAGGAAACAAGATCAGCTTTCATTGCTGCTGCAGCTTCTGTTCCTTGCTACCTATTGAATTCATACTGGACAGAGATGTGGGCATGATGATAACTGGTGATCGCCATAGTTCTTTTGCTTGATATGACTGCTCTCAAAGCCACCTTGTTCTTTGAATTTTGCTTTCTGACTATTACTGTGATCGGTTCTTGCATTACTTGCTTCTTCTCTAATCATAACACCCAAATGCTTGCTTCTTTATAATACTTGTTTTGGAGCTTGGAATCAAAGGAGGCATCAGATTAGAGGGGGTTTTCAACATTCTCTTGGCTATTTTCGATTTGATTTCTCTTCCAAGTAGTACCTCTGGGTTTTATGCGTTTACATTGGTTTTGAAATTAGAATTGATTTGAGTTCGGTTAATATTGGTTTAAAGGAGAAAACCAAAAATAATAAGACACGCGATGGGATTTTGAGAAAGAGGTGCGTGGACCAAAAAAGGCATGATTTCTGTGGATAAACGCGAGATGGGTGAGAGTGGGTGTGAAATCACGCGATCGGTAAAAGTGGGGTATGAAGTGGAGCTCTCTGATTGGCTAAAAAACTAAAAATAGTAGACATGTAGCTCCTCTCCTCCTCCTCTTCTTATAAAATTGTGTGTTTTAGATACAACAATTGAAAAAATTCAGATTGTATGTATACGTATAAGGAAGATTGAAAAAACTAAACATTTTCTCTTCATAGTAGTGCAGACGTTATTTTCTCAGTCAGTCCAACTGAAACTATGGCACGAGCTGCAACCAAATTGGAAATGATCCTGAGGGACTGAACAGAGCAAGCAACATCTTTGTCCCTGCATACCCATAAACGAAAATGTGAATATGCATGTATAAGAAAAATAACATTAATTACAACAATGTACTGGGAGAGAGTAATAGTCTAATAGATCATAAAACCAGAAAGTTGCAACCCTGTTTCAGAGTCTATCTTATGTAAGAAACCTATTTATGCTCCCGTTCTTATGATCAAGTAGGAGCACAACATTATATAATAAAAGAACAGCCTATACACCAAATTTTACCTTTTAGAATCTGGTGATTTTGAAAATATTTCCAGTGCTTTTAGACAGGATCCAATGCTTTATCATTTTCACCTATAACTTTTGCACCTTTAACAGTGCGGGATGTATTTTCCAATTTGTCCAGTGTTGCGTTACCTGAAACGGGGAAAACAACCCAAAGATGAATGAGGATGATATATAGGTCCATGATGAAAGAAAACAAAAGAAACTTTGAAGGCAGCTAAGGTTCTTTCACAGATAGCAAAATGTATGTGAATTTTCTGACACTAATCTTCTAAGACATGCAGATTTACAAAAGGAGAGCTGGGTTAATATATGAAATATACAAAACCTGAAGTAAAAAGAAAAAGGAAAGAAAATCCTTATATCATGAGAGTTGTGTTAAATCTAAACAAACATCAAGCATAGCATGACACCATAGCAAAAATCCAGCTCTAAGAGTTGTAAACCTAGAACAATAGAGCATACTTACTACAACCTTTGATAAAGAAGAAAATGCATTTGGCCATAACCAACAATGAAAGGATGATATCCAAAGATATGTCTGTTACAATGATATGGAAATGATCATCAGAATTAAATCTAAACATGGATTGTTTACATCACTGTATCTATCTGTTGGATAACTCTTTTGATTCTCAAAAGTCAAAAAGAAGAGTTTACAAATAGCATATCCCATTACCTGATTTTTTATCTCCTCTTGGGTTGGGAATCCAAGAAAATCCTCAGGGGGGTGGAGAATTTACATTGACAGCACTCTTCATATCTGACTGAACGTCAGCTAGACCTTTTGTTGCAGACATGTTCTCAGCCAGGGTCACAGAGTCGCACTTTTCTGTGACATATAAATTTAATAAAGGAGAAAATTAATTAAGAATTAGATGCTAACTACACACTGAAGAGAATCAAACCATTTCTCTGTTGCCCTCCATTTCCTTTGAGCATCCAAGCTGCCTTATGGTCAACTACTGCAGTTTGGATTTCCTGTACGGGTTCAAAATGTTCTTAGTGATCTATCATTCCAACAACATTTTCCACTTTCAAATCCTTTACATTGTATGACAAAGACAGTTTTACCGAAATGCTCTGTACATTGGACTCAAGCTGCAAAGTATAAGTCATCAATATCAGATCATTACCCTGGCTTCAACTTCTTCTTGTGATTCTTTAACGAAGGGGTGCTCACGAAGAGCAGGCCAGGTTAATCGATTTCTAGGTTCCTGTTCGCATTGTAATAGACAAACAGTTTAACCCAGTCCAAGAATAGTTTCAAACGTATCAATAAATGGACAACTTAAATAAAAAAAATCACCTTGTTGAGCAATCCTTTCAAAAAGCTTTTGAAATAAGGACTCATTTCATCAGGATATTTGACAGGATCCTTGAAGATTCACTAAAATGTTAGCTCAAACTTTAAGTATAGACTATGGACAAATATGAAAATATTGATATACCTTAACAATGTGACGAATGAGAGCATACACAGAATTGGTGTAGAAGGGAGGTTGACCTACATATAACTCGTATCTGATGTAACACAGGAGATTAATTAGAACCATATCAAGTGCAGTGAAATGTGCATAACACAAGAATAAAGAAAAAATAAGAAACTATGAAAGAAAAGCCATCACAATCATCACATTTATAGATGTAATAGCTTTCATAACAATAGGAGTTGAAGTACGACAACTCAGATGAGTTTCTCCACCTACAATATAATAACATAGCTGAAAAATCAAAGGGGAGACAAGTTAGTTGATGCCAAAGAGAAGTTAAATAAATCATATAATCAAGCTGCATTGAAAATACTTACGTTTCTACTTATATTTAGCTAAGTATATGAGATTCCTGGCTAGCCGTATCCTCTTCTAGTACTTACATGATTAACTTAGTTTTCTGAAACAATCATAGACGGAAAGATCCATGGTTCATAAATCATAGACGGAAAGATCCAAGTTTCTAATTATCGTATTGTAACGATAATTCTTTCCTAACTCTTATCTTTAAGAAACAACAATATGAACAACTCATGTGTGTGGGAAGCATAGAAACAGAATTTCAAACATAATTCCTGATAGGAGCCAAAGAAAGGTTATATTACCTTAACTACAGACCCAGCACCAATAAGAATGTTTTGTGGCTTCATGTCACGGTGAATCATACGGTTTGAAATAAAGTGAATCCGTTAACCATTACTTCTCAAGTCCACAGCCATCTCAAACAATGTCGAATTGAAGTGACTTACTGTCGAGAACAAAATGATCTGGATGTACATCAAGGAAGAGAGGAGGTAACATAAAATCGACTAGGAAAACTATAAAATGTACCGATGAATTGTCATTAAAGAATGTTACACTACCATACCATGCTAACTGATTCTTGCCTTGTCATGTTCCCAACTTCAGTTTCTAACTTTAGAAACTCATGAAACCTGAATAAGACCCCGATAAAAAAAGGCTAAATAACTAGGAGAAAGCATGAACTAACACAAGTAAGCGAATGGAAGTGAATACTTGTTCTGAAGCAACTGGCATGAAAATGTACCTCTCAAGTATCTGGTTTTTGCTAATCTCCTTGCGTGAAAAATTAGAATGCCAAGCAAGATTCTTAGGGTACCAAGGCAAAGGCTTGGTAGCCTCCAGTTCACCACTCTCTATAGCCTTAAGTATGGAAAACAAAAACCAACATCTAAGTGATTCTTATGTAGACTATCATCAATGAGACACTAGAAAAAAGGAAGAGTCATGAACTAACCTCAGCCTGAAGATATTTCATGAAATCATTCTCCAATTTCAATCGAATCCCATCACAAAATTGACCACTGAAGAATCAAAAACAGAGACCTCTGTGTCGTCTCCATTTTTGTTGTTACGGTCGCCGAGTTTTTTGGTTTTCGCCGGCGGCGTCACACTCACAGCGATGGGTTTACATTGGTTTTGAAATTAGAATTGATTTGAGTTCGGTTAATATTGGTTTAGAGGAGAAAACCAAAAAGAATAAGACACGCGATGGGTTTTTGAGAAAGAGGTGCGTGGACCAAAAAAGGCATGATTTCTGTGGATAAACCCCTTTAGAAATCGGAGACACGCGCTCAACGCGAGATGGGTGAGAGTGGGTGTGAAATCACGCGATCGGTAAAAGTGGGGTATGAAGTGGAGCTCTCTGATTGGCTAAAAAACTAAAAATAGTAGACATGTAGCTCCTCTCCTCCTCCTCTTCTTATAAAATTGTGTGTTTTAGATACAACAATTGAAAAAATTCAGATTGTATGTATACGTATAAGGAAGATTGAAAAAACTAAACATTTTCTCTTCATTTTGTTCTGCAACCATTTTTACAGGTTGGAGCTGATAACTGAAAATTGGATTCAAAGAATCGCAGCTAAAGAAATCAAACAAAGTGAGTTGCATATTTTCTAAACATGTGAAAATTGGTGCAAGTTTGTCCTCATTCTGCTAGTTTCCTATGTTTATGTTTCTTGACTTTAGGAGATGAACTTTCAAGTGCAAGGATCTAGACCAAGAAACTTTAATACTTTGATCAGACTGGAACCAGTAAGGCTTGCGTGAGGTTCACAAGGAGGCTTATGTGAGGTTGACGCTGGATTATGATACGTTTAATGGTGCAATCAAGACTGGAATCATCTTAAAAAGTTCATGTTTCAGCCTTTTTGTCATATAAATTAACTAGCAAGAGACATCCTTGTTGGTTCTAGTCTTCTAGACATCCCAACTTGTAAGAACATTCTTCTGTCAGCTTCTGTAATCAGTAATAACAATATATGAATTCTTTTGTTGAATAAAGAAAAAAAATTGAACAATTGATTACACATAGACTTTACATAATCCAACTTTTATATGAAGCTACAAACAAAGTTTAAAACATGAGAGATTCCATCTAATCTTCCTTCATCTTCAATCTTCATCTTCAACATCTTTCAATATCTCTCCACTTAAGATACACAAAGCCCAGCTCTATAGTGCGTGAACGCACCAACAACCATCAGAACATGAAACAACTGATGGCTATGTCCAGCTATATCGAATTTCCCCTGCAATAATACATTTTTCATACAGAAAGCAGAAGTCATATGCAGCGAGCATAGGCCAATTTAATAGAAGTAAAAAAGAAACAGAACAACTATGATAATGGGAACTCATATGATATACAGCATAATCCCAGTAAGTGGATATTTGTTAAGAAAAATCTTAGAAGCGTCAAACTATAGTCATCAGGATATGCCTTTGGCCACTTTGGTGATAAGTCATCCCAAGTCGATCCCTTCAGCATTCACCCAAGGCCAGGTTGGAAATAAATCTGATCGTAAAACACATCTGCAGATTATTTTAGTTAGCATGTGCTAGACATAATGAGATTTTGAAAGAACAAGCAAGAGAGGAAGCGAGGTAAACAAGTAGAAGAAGAATCTTACAGGGATCATGACATCCTGTACAAACTGCTTCTGCCCATTATCATTCCATGATGAAGCTGCCATAATGGTTCTAACACATGGTTGCACCATAAAAGAATGAGAAACACTATTAAAACATTTGTATGCTCCGTAGAAACTTATACTATAATAGTCTAGCTTCAGTAGGTAACATACTTATCCCTAAGCCTCAAAGTAATCAAAGAAGTATGGAGCAATTTCCATATCATCTTTTAAAGAGACAGACAACCTCTCTTAAGCAATACTCCACAAGGTACAGACAGCCCCTCTTAAACAATACAACAGCAATGTACAATGAGGGAGAAAGGTGAAAAAGCGTCACCTTCTAGTATAGTCACTCGGCCAAATTTGTGTTTGTAGAACAACTGGTCTAGTGCCTACTTATAGTAACCTGTATTAAAAAGTGTTTCAGTAATTGAGCTGGAGGGACGCAGAGAAAGGAAAAACCAGTCCTTACGTGCAATCTTGTAGTACGCAATCAGTTCGCCAGGCCTTTCAGTGATCACTGGTTCAAAATCCAAGTGCTAAAAATTTGAAAAAGAGCCTTCATCCTCACTTATCTACATGACAAAATTACTTGAACATTAAGGAGAAAAATCACACTAGATTAAAATTACCTGCATATATGTTAGTTGATTATAACTCAATGCCTTGCTCTTGACGGCTTGATCAGATCCATCCTGTCAGAAAATTTGTCGTTCGTGAAGACCATGGTTAGTAATTCATAGAATATCAAACTGAGTAAGAGACCACCACCCTGCAATTGTACAAAATTAAGTACCTGAGATATAAACAGAGGATGTTTTGAGGCAACGGGACTTTGATATCTGTAAAAAAAGAATTAGCCATTAGACAGTTCAATAAAGATTTGCTGTAAGAATTATCTGTAAAAGTAAAGAATTAGTCTAGTATCTCACGTTAAAACTGATTTAACTGTCCTTTCAAGATAGTCTGTACGACTGCGGGCCATAATCACTACAGCAGCCAAGGGCATCTGCTAAATAAAAACTAGAAACAGGTTATATATATATAGCAAGTGATAGCAGTGCAGCAAATACAAATACAAAGAAGCGCATCTTCTTATCCAGACCTGTCCAGCTTCAATTAGTTTTGCTATTCCTTTTTCTGGGAGAACAAAATAAGTATTCCTACCAAAACTAATAAAAAGAAAGCAATAAAATTAGCTTTACAGGTGATAGCAATGGACTTTCAAACGTCTGGATAAGATCCTTTAGCTGCAAAAGTTCTTGGAGGCAAAGATGTAATGTTTCCCAGAATGTAATCCAAGACCTTACCAATCATCTTAGTCAAATCATTGCAGTAAGAGTGAGCATGAAGCTGATGTGTGTGCCAGATAAGATCAATATCGTAAGTCGGAACACAGAAAAGTTTAATCGACCTTTCTCGGTTACCTTTGATCAAGTAGAGAAATGCTTTGTATCTAGCCACAGCTTCTTGCAGAAAGACATCATTATCTACATGAGCTCTTGAAACCTGCAACAAAGACACGCAAACAAAGTCGAATATTACAAAACCTTGCAACAAAGTGGTTTGGGACAAGAAGCTGACCATGATTTTACCTGGTAGTAAAATGGGCTTTGTCTCTTGACAGTTGAAACAAGATCGTAAGTGGTACATTTCTCAAGAGCTGAGATATTTGCTGGCTCTGAGATTGCCTTGTCCAAAATAAAGGTCATACGGCTCCATAGGATACAATCTTTTCCATAGAGTATCGGTTTGTGATATGCAGTTTCCATTTACGGAAGATAAAACACCAGAATTGTCGAGAACTCTCCCATAGAATTGCTCACAATTAGTCTTGTACCTCACCTGAAACGATTAACAACATTTTGAACTTTGTATACAATCCAACAAAGAAAAATTTAACGGGATTGAAATATTGATATAGATTTACCGGATCAAGCCTGTGGCAATGCCAAACCCATTCAGAGTCAAGAGGAGGGACTAATCAAAGAAGACTCGGTGTATTGAGCAAGCAAGGGAAGCCAGTAAGCATTGTATCTGTAAAACAAAATCATCCAAATGTGAGAGTATTGAAACACGAACGCTAACTTAGATTCGTAAATTGAGTATATAGAGAATGAATTGGTGATTAAACCTGTAGATGGCTCTTTGGAGTGCAGGGCCATCGTAGAGACAACAGTTGCGATCAACAGCTCCGTGGAACTGGAGGTGTTTCTTGGCTGCAGCAAAGAGGTCAACGCGATGGGTTTTTGAGGATTAATCTCAGATGCTACGGACAAGGTTCTCTTGGTGTTGCAGCTGGGGAAATGTTGACCTTCGTTGTTAGCGACCATCAAGTTGGTGGTACATGTTCTTTTCGTTTGGGGAATAAGAAGGTTAGATCTTTTAATCAACATCATTTGCCACCACCTGATTCAACCAAACAAAAATTTGAAACAAAACATGATCTATCAACCAAAAATGAGTAAAGATGTTAGAGTATTACAAACCATTCCATTAGGTAGAGATCCTGGTTCTGATGTTTCATGTATTATTTCAAGCAGTTGAAATGTGAACCAGGTGCAGCACACACTGTATACACTTCTTCTCTCTTCTCCACTCTTCTGTATTTTCTCTGCTACTACTTCAGCCAAATGAGTGTTCTCATGAACTTCACAACATGACAATAGTGCTCCCAAAATTCCTGAATCAATTGATTTTCGTAAATGACATTACAAATTCAAATGCTTCTTCCAGTTTTCCAGCCATTCCCATTAGCTTCACCATGTAAACATAATGCTCTGTTTGCGGCTCAATACCAAACTCACTCTTCATCCTCTCGAAGATCTCTTGACCTTTGTCTAAAAGACCCGAATGGCAACAATTACAAAGAAGAGCAGAGAAAGTGATCTCGTCGGGTTTCAATCCCATCTCAAGCATCACAGTGAACTTTCCTAACGCAGAGGAAGCAAAACCGTGTAAACCGTGAAATAACGGAGTTGAATGAAACAATGTGTTTCTCTGGAATCCCCGCAAAAAGATTCATCGCAGAATCCAGAAGCCCACATTTTGAGTACATGTCTATAAGACCAGAGCACACCTTTATATCAAGTTCAGTCCTAATCGAATAACATAACCGTGCACTTCTTTTCCGTATACTGAATTCGAGAACTCAGCACAAGACCCTAATACAATCGCCACAAGAACACAATCTGGCTTCTTACTACTCATTCTCAGCTCAGCAAACAGATGCAAAGCCTCCTTGTGAATCCCGCACCTCGAATAACCAGTTATCAAAGAAGAACATGCAACTAAATCAGGCTCACAGATGCTATTATACACACTACCAGCAGAAGCTATGCACATGCATCTCGAGTACATGGTAACGAAAGCACAACCAACATAAGAATGAGAATCTAAATTGATTTTCAAACAAAATCCATGAACGGACCAAGCAATTAGTAACAAACTAGGATCAATCAAACCAGTCATTAGGGCTACCATTGTATAACAATTCGGTACATGTCCCCGATGTTGCATCAAGTTAAACAAATTGATTCCTTTATCCCAAAATCCACAGCATCCATATCCAAGAATCATAACATTCCACAGAGCAAGATCCGGATCTGGTATTGAACAAAACAACTTACTTGCTTCAACGATAAGTCCAGGATTTGAATAAGCTTTAACAATTGCACTGCCACAAATTTGATCAAAACCAAGACCGGATACAACTGCAATCCCATGAATACGTCTCAGCCCCTCTGAATCGAAACTCTCTGAAAAGCCACGAGCTACACACACATAGGTGAAGTTATCAGGTCTCGTATCAGAACTCAGCATTTGAGAGAAGAGTGACAAAGAAGTACTAAATTGATGAGCTTTAGCATAAGCTCAGAATAATAGAGTTCCAGAGGAAAACACTTCTCTCAAGAAATACGTCGAATAGTTTGCGAGCAGACAGTAGATCATCGTTTAACGCATAGAATCTAACAAGTTGCGCCGCGAAATACGGGTCACGCGAGAGTTTGGACTTGGTAACAAAGCTATGCAGTTTCTGGGTACTCAATCTCGTTTAAAATTTCCTCGAGAACTCATAGATAATCAAACGTAACTGCGTCTGCGAGGCCATTACAGGTAAACGCAAAAATCCAATCTTTAATCGAACAAAACCTCAAACACAAGCAGACAAAAAGAGACAAGTGAATCCGTTAACCATTACTTCTCAAGTCCACAGCCATCTCAAACAATGTCGAATTGAAATGACTTACTGTCGAGAACAAAATGATCTGGATGTACATCAAGGAAGAGAGGAGGTACCTGCGTAATCATAAAATCGACTAGGAAAACTATAAAATGTACCGATGAATTGTCATTAAAGAATGTCACACTACCATACCAAGCTAACTGATTCTTGCCTGGTCATGTTCCCAACTTCAGTTTCTAACTTGAGAAACTCACGAAACCTGAATAAGACCCCGATAAAAAAAGGCTAAATAACTAGGAGAAAGCAAGAGCTAACACAAGTAAGCGAATGGAAGTGAATACTTGTTCTGAAGCAACTGGCATGAAAATGTACCTCTCAAGTATCTGGTTTTTTCTAATCTCCTTGCGTGAAAAGAAAGATTCTTAGGGTACCAAGGCAAAGGCTTGATAGCCTCCAATTCACCACTCTCTATAGCCTAAGTATGAAAACAAAAACCAACATCTGAGTGCTTCTTATGTAGACTATCATCAATGAGACACTAGAGAAAAAAAAAAAGAGTCATGAATTAACCTCAGCTTGAAGAGATTTCATGAAATCATTCTCCAATTTCAGTTGAATCTCATCACAAAATTGACCACTGAAGAATTAAAAACAGAGACCACTTAGTCAAAAAACTATAGTAACACTTATGATGAAAGAAAAAAAACCGTTCTTTTGATCTTTTAAGATGAGAGATCGTTATACTCACCTGTATCTTCTGTCCTACGTATTCCAGCCGCTCAAAACAAAACCGCGGGTGTTCAAACTTGTGCTTTGAAGGATGCAAGAAGCAGAGCTGTGTGATTTGAGGGAAGTGAATAAAGGTTAGAGAAGGAAAGTAACATATCACATGATAAAGCCAGGGGTAACAGCTTTTGTACCTGTAAACCGAGTCCAAGTTCGATGTTTCTTGCTTCAGTTATCTCCTTGATTCTATCATTCATCGGTAAAGGGTATCCGAGGGTCTGCATAACTTTAGGTTTGCTGTCAAAATCCCATATGTTCCCTCTGAAACGATGCATTCCCGGTGGAACACAAGCTCTGAATAGCCTCGGGTGTGCGAATAAAGCATCTTCAGGAGGCTGAAACAACAGGAAAAATAAAGAAATCAGTCTTCTTAGATAGACCAAAGACGTAGACTGTGATTTTGTTATATCATGCAGTTTTATTTACCTTTTAAGTAGCAATATCTTGCCAACCTAGCTTTTTGCCTTCAAATTCAACAGAAACATAATCTACATCCTCGAGCTGTCTCCTGCTTCGAGGCTGACACTCATCAGCATCTGGATCCATCCCAAACACCTCAAATAGTACACGATACACTTCCGGCATCCCATAGCATAGATAGATGGCACCAAACAAAGCCCAGAACACAGATCTAGCCATAACAAAATCACATGGATAAGTACTTGTCTCTTGTGAGATATTGAAATGCACAGACTCGTCAAGTTTTCATTCATTTAATTCAATCAAATGGGAAGCCCGACCTAGATAGTTAGCACCAGCTATCACAAAGACACACTACAAACAGATAAGCCAGATCTTTGATCAGCTAAAGTTCTTGGCGTCATAACAACTCATGGTGAGATTTGGGCTTACCTAAACACAGAATGTAAAACATATAACAAGTTCTTGAGAGAATGGAACAATATCTACTAGTTCCAACTACAGCAAAAGCGGATATCAACCCATATCATTGTCTTAACTCGTTAAAACTAAATCTCAGCTCAAAGCAACCAAACTATAGACTAACACTCAAGTGAAATCATCATCATCATCATCAAAAAAAGTGAGAAACTTACTTAACCGGTGGCTCACGCTCTTTCATGAAATCATTCTCCAATTTCAATCGAATCCCATCACAAAATTGACCACTGAAGAATCAAAAACAGAGACCACTTAGTCAAAAAACTATAGTAGGTAATGGCTTATGAAGAAACTCCATAAACGAATCCCACTCTTCAGCTTTCACTATCCTTTGTTCCTTAAACACAACAGAACAAGAGATTACAATATTGTTAAGAAGCGAAGTTTCAAAAGCCATGGAAGTGTATAGAGGTACCTTGTAATACTCCTCGAAATGAAGAATTGAGCAGATGGGCTTTTGGAAGTTGTTGGAATCAAAGGAAGCGATGGGTTTTCGAACATTCTCGTTGCTACTGTCGATTTGATTTCTCTTGGAAGTGTCGTCTCCATTTTTGTTGTTACACTCGTCACAGCGATGGGTTTACATTGGTTTTGAAATTAAAATTGATCTCGGTTCGGTTTACTTTGGTTTTGAGAAGAAAACCAAAAACAATAGGACACGCGATGGATTTTTTAGACTGAAGAGCGTGGACCAAAAATAGGCATTATTTTGTAGGTTACCCTTTAGAAATTGGACACACGCGCTCA